TTTCCCTTTTTTTCAAGCAGTGGTCACTTAATCTTAAGGCATAATAATCCCACAATAGTCACAATAAACAGAATTTCACTTGCAACTGAGATTAGAAATATCAAGTTTAGAAGCATGCCTATTTTTAAGATTCCTATGATCAACTATGTAGCAGAAATAAAATTTTAATGAGCCTGTGGAAATGGCAGGAGAAGTGTACAATACAAAAATAATCAAAAGTAGAAATGATCCTAATAACTGAGATTTTAGCTTTAAAGTTCAAATACTCCATTCGGTGCTCTATACACCATAATAACGAAAACCAGTAATAGGGTGGAATAATATACCTCTGGCATTTTGATATTCAAGTCCTCAAATGGCAAATAAATAGATGTATTGGCATCAACATCATATACTCCCTCTACTCTCATTACAATATAGCCAATTTTCTTCTGGATCTCCTTCTGTTAATACAATTAGCAGCAAATGCATCTAATAAGTATCACTTGAGAATCATTAGATATATATATATATATATATCACTTAAGAATCAGGCAGAGCTCAACCTTGTAGCGGTAATTGATATGAGAGCTATAGAGTAAATAAATATCTACATGACGTGAGAAGTGACATGAAATTCTTTGGTCACATTGAAAATGCAGACAAAATACATGCCAGACTAAAAGAGACCAGAAACTACAAAAATAAAGCAGAATCCAGATCAATTGATCTATAGAAAATTGGCAGCACATGTACAACACCAATTTGTTTTGGACTTCATCAACAAGTTTTCTTAGCATCCCTTTGCTGAGGAATAACAGAATGCAATATCTAAAGTTACCCATATAATTAAAAGACTTGCCTCCAATAACAAATTCAATAATAGAACATTAAGGTCATTAATGATGTAATTAGGCTTACCTTTGAATCATTTTCATCAAAGATTTCTCCAATAATCTCCTCAACCACATCTTCTAAGGTTACCATCTGCTCCATCAAAAAATGAGTACATAAATATAAAAAATCAATCAGTCAATAAAATGAGCACAAATACTATTAAATAAGCAATCCAAAGGAGAAAGAAAACCCATGCATGGTAAGTTCTAGACTTTTTGTGTTGTCATGCTGCATATTCCACTCTTCTCTGAACTTGAGAAGAAAAATGATTTCAAAACATATGAGAGAGCATTTGAGTTTCATCTACAAGGAACTCCTATTTGTCTCCTAGACACACAGAACTGGATTAGTTAAGTGATGATGGGAAAGGCTAGTACGTAGTGCCAAAAAGAATGGTGGTGAAAAAACTAGGTTACATCACTGTGAAGCATTCGAAATACACCATCTTCAGACTCTTTTTCAGCCAGCTTACGAAGCTGACACAAATTAGCATTAAATCACCAATGAGACCAAAGTTTCCCAATGGCTTGGTGACATTTTTTTAAAAAAAAAATCTTGTTCTTCCATGAATTAATATGAACCACATGAACATATAAGAAACCAGCATCATCCTCTAAACCAAACAAGACAACAGTAGTACTGCTGCATGAACTTCACAATCAAGATTTGAAATAGCAGATCAGATTAATCTTTGCTAAACTTAACCCAATATTTAAGTCAGCAAATGCCATTGCACAACAACCACAAACTTCATATATTTATCTAAACCATAAAAGTTATTGAAACACTAACAATCAATAACTGTGAGTGTTCTTCAACTTCATATATTTATCTTTTTAACTTTTTTGATGTTTCCATACTAAAACTCAGATTTCAATTGCTATTCACTAATTATAAGAACCATCAATCTTCAAACCAAGAAAGCAAACCTTCCATGGCCAAAGTGTAGTTATAGAACTTTCTGGCATTGAGAATAATGCAGATAGACCTAAAAGTGTAGTCACAATCACACCTTGCTCTTTGAAAATCATAAGAACCATAGAAACCTTAGGCCACACATTCCTCAACAACAATGCCCACTGCTCAATCACTACCTACCCCGCATTCACCACTCCCTCCATCGCGAGCACTCTCTTGCACACGAAAACCAAAAGACAATAAAGCATTGCCCCAATAAAGACTCCCCGCTTCAACAAAATCTTCAGAGACTCCAAATCCAGGCCTAAAACCTCACCTTGGTTGCCACCCAGATCATTGTTTTCTTCACTTAACGATCTCAGATGAACTCCACCGCCAACAATGCCAAGTCTCCGCAATCTCAAACTGTAAATTCCACCAAAATGGACGGATTGAAACAACTGGAGACTACACAACATGGGAAGTGATTACTTTTGGATGATAATTTTATTGAGCATCTCAAATTTCGATTGTGTTGCACGAAACACGAGATAGTGCTTCATTCTTTTTCTATTTTTCTCATTTTTGCTCGAATGGAAAGTCTACTTCTACTCTGATTCAATTTAACTGTCTTATAAACTTTTTGTTTGTAATTTTAAATAATTTTTTTGCATGATATATGAACAGTGAATGAAATTTTTTTAAAAACAAAATTATTCCAAAAAATAAAGTTGGCATTAACCACTAGGATTCGAGTGATCATGATTGAAAAAGAAAGATAGATTGAATTAATTACTAATCACATAATTTCTACATTGAATTTTTGATGTAATTTCAGCAAAAAGCCTTTCTGCCATCCATGGGGCACAACCATATCTTAAGATATGTTTATGTGTTGCTGTAACACTCTTTTTATTTTAAAATAATTAATATTTTTTTAATTTTACTTCTATACTAAAATTTTAAAGATAATTTATTATTTTATTTATACTACTTTTAAAAAAATGAATAAAAATTAAATTTTTATAATAAAATGAATAATTAAAATCAAAGATGATAGTAAGATTAAAATAATTAATATTTTTTTAATTGTACTTCTATACTAAAATTTTAAAGATAATTTATTCTTTTATTTATACTAATTTTAAAAAAATGAATAAAAATTAAATTTTTATAATAAAATGAATAATTAAAATCAAAGATGATAGTAAGATTAAAATAAAAAAAATATTTGTCTCTTTCAACAACAGAATGATTTAAAGATAATATTTTATATTATTTTTTAATATAACTTTACATATCATTTAAATGGTTGATTTTTTTTATTCATTTAAACCCATAATATTAAGTACAATTACTTATTTAAACAGTGGAAGCATGCTAATAAAAAAAATTTTAATTACTTAGGATATTCCAGAAGATTAAATTAGAAGTTTGGTTGCTAGGAGTAAACCATGCATTCATATTGTGGACTTTTATGAATGTGGAGTAGACTAATGATAGGCTGCACATTCATCCAAAAAATAATAAGCTGCACAGTGATAGATATGGAGTAGACTAATAATTAGCTACACAGTGCATTTTTATTTCTTTATTTCAATTTTTTATTTCAAAACGATAAAAGAACTTGATTTGAAACAAGCTACTGTGCCTTTAGTCACCAAATGAGACAATCTTTTGATAGTGAGCTTCCTCTTCATAGTTTTCAACCTCTTGCTGGTTCCTTTTGCCTTTTTCCTTTTTTTTTTTTTTAATCTGTTCTTTCTTCTCTTTCTTGTTCATAGGAGTATTGGGCTGCTTTAAGATCAAAACAGATTTAAACCCATAACCTTCATCCCAAAAACAAGGTTATAATACTTAATCGATAACAATTTGGTTAACCTCCAGTTGGTTGCTAGTATCCTTTATCAGATGTATAACCTAGAAAAGGCAATGATCTATTAGTTTATACACATCCACCTAAACATAAATTTAGACCTTATTTGCATTAGTACCGGCTAATTACAAATACTTGATTCAAGGGTCAAGATAAAGGATTGAAATAGCTAAGCATGCTAACTTTCTTCAAGTAGCAAAAATGAAGATGCATAAAATGGTGTAGTATAATATAAACATCAAAACTAAGGTTTAGTAATGAAGATTTTGAATTTGTACACTTTCATACTATCACTTTTATCCCAAATTGAATGATCAAACCTGTTTATCCTCCATAAACTCATGTGTCTCTATGTTCTAATGATTACGATGAATGACAAATCCTAAGTGCGCCATTTTTTGACCATTGTAGAAATTTATTGTTTGATAACATCAGATTCCATGACACAAATTTCATACTTCTATGTGTATTTTGTTCTTTCCTTTTGATTGGCAAAGAGTAATATTACTAATAAAACTAAAGAGTGAAGCACAATGAATGCCACCACCAATCTCAAAATCTAAGTATTTCAGTGCTGGAAAACTCAAAGCCAATTCAATGACAACCTAATTAACATAAGAACCTTGTCCCCCATTAACCCACATTTTCCAGCCAACAACCTTCTGCTTCCACAAGGTTTTCGAAGAGTCTGAAGTGTTGTGAAAAGTTCTAGGCGATGGTGAGCGTTGAGGCACTGCCTAGTGCCTAGGTGCACCCTAGCATTTTCCTTTTCTCTTTTTTTTTTTCTTTTTAAAATTCAAAAAATGTCAAAAAATAGAAAAAAAAAAGAATAAATACCAAAAAATACTAAAAATGAAAACAAAAAGTTTAAAAGCAAGTATTACCATAAACTCATCTATAGTATTGACAAATTAAGATTTTTTTTTTCTTTTTGCTCCATCACCTTGCCTAGGCACTAGGTGGTGGAGCTAAGCAAGCTATTTATTCTATTTTTTAGATTTTCTGTCCTATTTTGGCATTTTTTTGCAACAAAATAAAAATGCCTAGAGCGTTTAGGTGGCACTCAAGCAGCACCAATGGTGCAAGGCAGTGGCCCAACACCTAGGCACTGGCTAGCGTCTTTTGCAACACTAAGACACATGAAACCACTGCCACAGCAACCCAGGCAAGGCACCAGCCACCACTCCGCCTAGTTGTGCATTTTTTAACACTTGTGAACTCTTACAAACAAAATATGACACACCTGAATCCCAAATGCTGCCTTGGTTGCAAGAGAGTAGTGCAGACACTAAAGAAATCAAGGACGAAAAGAAGCATAAGCATCAACAACATCAAGTACTGCAATCTATTTGATTTTGGACAGAATCAGGACCCTATACAGGCTACATAGTTCTATTAAATCAAAATTAATGTTCTTTAAATTTTATTTAATTTTTAAAGTCAAGACATTCTCATCATGTATATGTTTACAGCAATTTCCACTCTGCAGTATTTGAGATTATGCATAGTCCACTGTTTTAAATTAATACCTGTTAACTGGAAAAATCCCACATTGGTGAATTATAGGGAAACCTATGGACTTCAAATACAATGTGGTACTCCGCATATTACAATTGGTTTAATTTAGATAGTTACATGGTATCAAAGCCCAGGGCCAAGTTGTATGAGCAATCCAAGGGGGGTAGTTGATGTTAGGAGAGGTCGTTGTGATCCTAGTCTGTCTGCACAAATCCAAAAGAGTTGCCACAAATTTGCAACCCTGGAAGGGTTGTTGGAAGCCCTGGTGGGCAATCGGAGGTGAGGTTGACAGTGGATTGGTGTGCTATGACCATGTGACAGGCAGATCTATGAGGGTGTGTCGTGTAAGAATCTCATATTAGTGAATTATAGGAAACCAACAGATTACTCCACCTATTGCCAATTGATTAGCGGTTGGATGTTTAAAATACAAATTCCTCTCACCTCTTAAACATAAACAACCTAAGTCCCAACAATTCAAATCCAAAATCCCTCTTGCTACTCAATACCAAAGATAGATAAATGAGAGACAAAAACCTAACTAAAGTCAGACCCTAAGACTACTTTTATTGTATAATCTACCTAAAGATCTAGTCACTGAGATATATTATGGTTTGAAAAATACTAACCATATGGAAAACAATCCAATTCATGACATAGTGTTTTGCATTTATAAAAGTGACATGCTGTATCACCAATTAAGAAAACTGGATTTGGGGAATGTTTAAATCAATTCAAGCACAACCATAGAATAATTTCAGTTGACTTGAAAATTATAAAACACCAAAACTAAAGAGATTATGAATACTAGTAATTGATTTAACCAAGACAACTGTAAAGACTGAAGAAAGAAGCATAGCCAATATACCTCCAAAAGTTCAAAACCACATGGAGGACCTGTTCGAAGAGTGTGTCTATCGTATTCAAGAAAAAAATCCCGTATGCGCTCATTAATTGGGTAAAAAAATGAGCGAAGCCTTAATTGCAATTTAAAAATAGTTTTTCCACCTTCCAAATAATCCAGCCTCTCCTACAATTAAAAGATATGGATTAATAAATAATCATCTAACACAGTAAACTATAACCATCTATGTGATAACAAAGCTAGGCTAGTTTTATTTATAACAAACCATTGAAAAATTGGAATCTTAAACACAATGAAAAAGAATTAGTTACATAATAGGGTGCAAATATCATTTTATAATTTACAACGTAGAAAGGTTCAAACAAATTAATTTTTTCTTGTGACCAGAGGTTAACACATGTCAAAATAAAAATACCTTTCCATTTTCTTAAAGATACTGTGGAACCAGTTCTCTCATAATCGGTAGGGAAATTTCTGATAGCAACCTGAGTACAGAACGTAGTTCAACAGGGTGAAATCATTGAATGATGTAACGAGGAAAAAAAAGAAATGATGCAGATAACAAAAGCATGAGAAAAAGTCATGTCTAAATTACTAGAAAATATACTGTTATGGCATTTAGTTGGCATCAAAGAAGGCTAGGACCTAATACAGACTAGAAAAATGCTATAATATCTGGTTTCTCAGTTTCTTTATGACAAAAAGCTGCTGGTATTTTATTTTTATTTTATTAAATTTTAGGGGATGGGGAATAAAAGCCATTATTTGGTACAGATAATTATTAGTCTCATTACCAAATCTTAATTGCAACTGCTTTAGAAAAAAAGGCTAAAGGATAAATAAAATTGTTCCCAATTCAACCCTTCTCTATACCCTAGTCAAGTGTGACCTGTACCAAAATATTAAATTTCTTGAGGTATAAACTATAAACAATCATATATGATTTTTATGATTCAATAACTTCATACACTAAGCTTAGGTAATGAGAGTTCTTGATGTTAAATACCACCGCTGTTGTTTTTAATAAGATTTTGTCAAACTTATCCGAATAAACTAGGTAGTATTTCACTGTAAGGTGAATGAAGACTCACATTGATATCATCCAAGTACCCACAACATAAACCAGGAAAGTAACCTGACAATTGAAATTATAACATTAGCTTAACAAACCACTAGAATACCGAATAGGTGATTATATTTCTGCACCCTGTTTATTTCCAATACCATGAACTACCATACCAATCACTCCAGTAGCAGAACAAATAATGTAAGTTAATAAATCATCAAGGAAAGAAACAAAACAAAAGATGACAAACATAAAGGCAGTTGCATACCGTGCATGGGTGGATAACGGAAGTGCTGCATGTCCAATTACTACCTGCCAAGTAAAAGAACAGAACTACTTAGGATTGCAAAAAAAGATAGAATAAGAGGAGTGCGAAACAGGCCAAATCACTAACCAACGAGACGAGGTTCAGATGATTTTGTATTATTTCAAATGGAAGGAAAAGAAAAATGGAAGGAAAAGAAAAAAGGATCTCATTGAATACACTGGTTTTGGAGCTTCTAATTTCATTTGAAGATCAACATGGAAGAAAGTGAATATAAGGTGATGCAATGGTGTCCAAACAGCAGGGAGAGAAACTTTAATTTCATCCTGGTAGCAGGCCACCCGAGCACCAACAGCAACTTGCGTGTGAGCACACTTCTGAAGTGATAAACCAGGTTCCCTTGGATGCATTGCCTAGTCATATCAGTAACACAGAAAGAACAATAAGACAAGTTTAAAAATCATAGTGCAAAGTATCACTCAACAATTTTACCTCTAAAGGTTGTCTACGAACATCTGCATCATCCTTTCTTAGCTCAACTCTTACGAATAGATTCCTTTTCCAACTCAAGCTCACAGTTAAAAGGATATACATATAGAGAATGGAAAATCTGCAAGAATGGTTCGTTTCTCAAAGTTGTCCGAAAGTCAAATGCCTGGAACTGCAGGTTAAAATTAAGAAACTAATTACAGGTAAACAAGTTCCACACGAATAAAAAAAAAAAAAAGTTGCATTGGTAAGAGGTATTCAAACTTCGAAGGAAGACAGAATAGCTCCAACACAGATAACTCTTCATGAGAGGAGTTGCTTGGACAAGCAACATCCATATAAAGATCATTACACCACATGTAGCATACGACTGGAAAGCAAATTCCATGATTAACCTCAGCTAAATTTTCAAGCAAGTCGAAAAATAATAACTAATTGAACAGAATTCAAGTACATCAACTTTACTTTAAAAAGCAATTCTCATCATTTAGATGCCCCTTGCCATATGGAATTGGGATCAAGAGGCACAGAAAGAATGCT